TCACACTCAAGCTTGAAGAGGCCAACAGTGACGACAAGTACGAGAGTCCGATGGCCCGCTCGCATTGCTCACATGAGCAACGGGCCCCATCAGGAAGGGGCTCCCGCCTGAGACTTCCTCGCAATTCACTCACGGACGAAGCTCCCGCCTGAGATGAGTGAGTGAATGAGTGAATGAGTGGGTGAAGATGATGACGATGGTGTTTCTAATGATGATGATGATGATGATGATGATGATGATGATGATGATGATGATGACGATGATGATGATGATGATGATAATGATAATGATGATGATGATGATGCTGATGATGATGACGATGGTGAGGATGATGATGCTGATGAGAATGTGAATGAGTGAGTGGGCGGGTAGGTGGGTGAGTGAGTGGGTGAGTGCGTGAGCGAGTGATGCTGATGACGTGTGCGTGTGTGTGTGTGTGTGTGTGTGTGTGTGTGAGAGAGTGGGTGAGTGAATGGGTGAGTGAGTGAGTGAGTGAGTGAGTGAGTGAGTGAGTGTGTGTGTATGTGTGTGTGTGTGTGTGTGTGTGTGTGTGTGTGTAAGAGTGTATGGGCTCCTGGGAGGCACGGCGGAGTCGTGGAATAAACGAATCCTGAGGGACCTCGAAGCTCCCGGGGGGGCTGCGAACTGCGCAACTGTCGCCGCTCTCGTGGGCTCCTGGGAGGCACAGCGGAACCGGGAAGTGAACGGATCCAGCCGAGACCTCGCTGCTCTCTGGGTGTCTGCGAACTGCGCAACTGGCACCACTATTGTGGGCTCCTGGGGACACGGCGGAGTCGGTGAGTAAATGGATCCAGCCGAGACCTCGCAGCTCCCTGGGGACTGCGAACTGCGCAACTGTCGCCACTTTTGTGGGCTCCTGGGAGGTACGGCGGAGTCGGGGAGTAAGCGGATCCAGCCGAGACCTCGCAGCTCCACTTTCGTTGGATTTTGGGAGGGGCGGCACCCAGACTGGACCTCGCAGCTCCCCAGGGGGGCTGCGAACTGCGCAACTGTCGCCACTCTCCAGTCTCATGGGCTCCTGGGAGGCACGGCGGAGTAGCGGAGTATGCGCACCCAGCCGAGACTCGCTGCTATCTGGGCGGTTGCGAGCTAGGCATTTGTCACCACTTTCGTGGGCTCCTGGATGGTCCAGCGGAGTCGGGGGCCACGCGCAATCAGGCGGGATCTCGCCGCTCCCTGGGTGGCTGCGAACTGCGCAACTGTCGCCACTATTGTGGGCTCCTGGGGGGTCCAGCGGAGTCGGGGAATAAACGGAGCCAACCGATACATTGCAGCCCCCTGGGTGGCTGCAAATTGCGCCACTGTCGCCACTTTCGTGGGCTCCTGGGGGGCACGGCGGAGTCGGGGAGTAAACGGATAAAGCCGAGACCTCGCAGCTCCTTGCGTGGCTGCGAATTGCGCAGCTGTCGCCACTTTCGTTGGCTTTTGGGAGGCACGGCGGAATAGGGGAATACACGCACCCAGACTGGACCTCGCAGCTCCTCGGGGGGGCTGCGAACTGCGCCACTGTTGCCACTCTACAGTCTTGTGGGCTCCTGGGAGGCACGGCGGCGTAGCGGAGTACGCGCACCCAGCCGAGACTCGCTGCTCCCTGGGCGGTTGCGAGCTAGGCATTTGTCACCACTTTCGTGGGCTCCTGGATGGTCCAGCGGAATCGGGGGCCACGCGCACCCAGCCGGGATCTCGCCGCTCCCTGGGTGGCTGCGAACTGCGTAACTTGCCCCACTTTAGTGGGCTCCTGGGAGGTCCAGCGGAGTCGGTCGCCATGTGCACCCAGACGAGACCTCGCTGCTCTCTGCGTGGCTGCGCTTTGATGAACTGCCACCTCTTTCGCGGGCTCCTGGAAGCTCCACCGGAGTCGGGGACCACGCGCACCCAGACGAGACCTCACTGCTCCCTAGGGGGCTGTGAATTGTACAACTGTGGCCGCTTTCGTGGGCTCGTGGGAGGCACGGCGGGGTCGGGGGCCATGGGCACCCAGACGAGACTTCGCTGCTCCCTGAGTGGCTGCGAACTGCGCAGTTGCCACCACTTTCGCGGGCTCCTGGGAGGTCCAGCGGAGTCGGGGGCCACGCGCTCCCATTCGAGACCTCGCTGCTCCAATTGTCGCCACTTTCGCCGGCTCCTGGGAGGTCCAGCGGAGTTGGGAACCACGCAGAACCAGCCGAGACGTCGCGGCGCCCTGGGAGGCTACGAAGTTCGCAATCGTTACCACTTTCGTAGGCTCGTAGGCGGCACGGTGGAGGTGAGAGCAACGCAGATCGTGCATAATGGGCGATGTGCTCGTTCGTATGGAGCGTTCAAACAAGTATGCGACTCGCGTGGGGGAAACAAATTACGCCTCGAACATTTGTTTGTTGCCCTTTTCCGTAACCTCATGAAGCAATGCTCAACTGTAGTCTTTGTTGCGCCGTTGAGGAAGCTTTCATTTTACCCCAAAAAGATGCGCGGGACACAACTAATGCGCCAATTGTCTTCGATCCTTGTGTCACCGTATGTTCATGCATATCCTTGGCCGTGGCAGCTCGTGTAGGAATTGTGATTGGACGGGCTGGAGGGCATGGAGGAAGAGCCAACATTGCCCCCCACGCGCGATCGAAATTTGGCGTGGCGCCCGTTGTTCAGAGCACGCTTGTTCCCCATGTTCGGCTGAAGACCACTGAGGCGAGACAACCATCGGTTCAGTCGAATACGCATGGCCTTGCCGTTGGTAGCTGTGGGGATGTTGAACCAATGTGAACGTCGTACTTTCCATGCGCATTCGGTTCGCGATGTGTACATTGGTTGTCGGGCACATCTGTCTCGAGGGTGTAACCTGATCGTCACACATTGCGATGTACTCGCATACCGCCGTGCCGCAACACAGGTGCCCTCGCCGCTCGCCCGCGAGCCTGGAAATGCAGTCATGACCTGTGCGAGCCAGGCGATTCCGTGGAACCTGAAGTTCCCCGCGTGTCATGTCAAATAGCAGCATCGAACAACTTGCGGCAATATGCCCAACGCTTAAATGAATAGCGACCTTACCAGCGAATCACACATACCAATGCCAGAGACGTATCCGACCCCTTCTCCACGCGAGGCGAATCGTTGCCCGAACGTTCTGCACGAAAGAACACATCGCCAGATAGCACGGTCTGCGCTGCCCTCGCCCCCGCCGAGCATGCGAAGGCGGCGATAACTGCGCACTTCGTAGCTTCCCAGGCAGCCGCGACGTCTCGGCGGGATCTGCGTGGTCTCCGACTGCGCTGGACCTCCCAGGAGCCCACGAACGTGGCGACAATTGCGCATGTCGCAGCCGCCCAGAGAACAGCGAGGTCTCGTCTGGGTGCGCGAGACCCCCGACTCCGCTGGACTTGCCAGGAGCTCCTGAAAGCGGCGACAATTGCGAAATTCGCAGCCACCTAGGCGGCTGCGAGGTCTCGGCTGGGTGCGCGTGGCCCCTGATCCCGCCGTGCCTCCAAGGGGCCCACGAAAGCGGCGACAACTGCGAAATTCGCGACCGCCCAGGGACCAAAGAGGTTCCGTCTGGGTGCGCATGGCCCCCGATTCTGGTGGACCTCCCACGAGCCCGCGAAAGTGGTGACAGTTGCAAATGTCGCAGCTAACCAGGGAGCAACGAGATCTCGTCTGGGTGCACGTGGCCCCCAACTCCGCTGGACCTCCCAGGAGCCCACTAAAGTGGGGCCAGTTGCGCAGTTCGCAGCCACCCAGGGAGCTGCGAGGTCTCAAATGGTTCTGCGTGTCCTCCGACTCCGCTGGACCTCCCAGGAGCCCGCGAAAGTGGTGACAATTGCGGATTTCGCAGCCGCCCAGGGAGCAGCGAGATCTCGTTTGGGTGCGCATGGCCGCCGACTCTGCCGTGCCTTCCACAAGCCCACGGAAATGGTAACGGTTGCGCAGTTCGCAGCCCCGCAGGGAGCTGCGAAGTCCCGTCTGGGGGCGCGTACTCCCTTACTCCGCCGTGCCTCTCACAAGCCCACGAAAATGGCGACAACTGCGCAGTTCACAGCCCCCCAGGGAGCTGCGAGGTCTCGGCTGGACGCGCGTACTTTCCGACTCCGCCGTACGTCCCAGGAGCCCACGAGAATGGCAACGGTTGCGCAATTCGCAACAACCCAAGGGAGCTGCGAAGTCCCGTCTGGATGCGCGTACTCCCCGACTCCGCCGTGCCTCCCAGGAGCCCACGAATTTGGCGACATTGGCGCAGTTCGCAACCACCCAAGGAGCTGCGATGTCTCTGCTGGATCCGTGCACTCCCCGGCCCCGCCGTGCCTCCCAGGAGCCCACGAAAGTGGCGCCAGTGGCAATTCGCAACAACCCAAGGAGCTGCAATGTCTCAAATGGATCTGCGTGTCCTCCGACTCCACTAGAGACCTCCCAGGAGCCAACGAAAGTGGCGACAGTTGCACAAGGAGCAGCCCCCCAGGGAGCTGCGAGGTCTCGGCTGGGTCCGCTTACTCCCCGACTCCGCCGTGCCTCCCGCGAGCCCACAAAAGTGGCAACGGTTTCGCAAGGAGCAGCCCCCCAGGGAGCTGCGAGGTCTCGGCTGGGTGCGAGTACTCCCCGACTCCGCCGTGCCTCCGAGGAGCTGGCGAAAGTGGAGCCAGTTGCGCAGCTCGCGTCCCCCCAGGGAGCTGGGAGGTCTCAAATGGGTCCTTTTGCTCACCGACTCCGCCGTGCCTCCCATGAGCATGCGAAAGTGGCGCCAGTTGCGCAGCTCGCAGCCACCCAGAGAGCAGCGTAGGAGTTAGGAAGAGGGGGGGAGGAGAGGGAGAAGAAGGTGTGCGACCGTAGTGCTCTCTTTAAAACGAGAACCCAACACACATGAGGGTTGGGAACAACCCCGGCTTGGACTCCCCGACAGACCCTTCGTGCGCCGACGCAGCTGGAGCACTCACGGCTCATCAAACTTTTGGACTGCATTGGCGTTTGCGCTCCCACGTTGGCACCGGAACCGACATAGAGAATCTGGTGGAGTCCTGGATGGCCTCCTCCAAGGCGTCGCCGCGGCCCGCGGCCACAGCGGCCCGCAGCCCTGCCTCGGCGGCGCGCTTTTCCTCGTCCTGGGCCAGCTCGTCACGGCCTCGGCTCGGAACCGCGCGGGTGAGGTGCATGTTGGGCACTGAGGTGGCGGCCGAGGCGACAGCGCAAGGCAAGGGCGGTGGCTCCAGTTGCGGCGATGGCGGCGGTGGTGAGGAAACGATTTGGGTGGGGGAATTTCGAGATGCGGCATAGGAGAGAAAAGCGGGAGTACGTGGGGCCGCCAACGACATGATAGGGGGCCTGCGGCGTGGACCAGAGCGAATGCGGCAATCAAGCGGCAGCAAAACAATCAGCGGGCAAATCTCTGGGCGACCATGCCTGCAAACGCGAATACGACAAGCCGAGAACGTACGGAAATCTGTTTTGAATAGCCTCGGAATCATCACGCAATTTCATTCGGTTCCCTGCAGAGAGGCCACCCGCTGTGGGCTGTTGTGGGAACCTAATCTTGTGTCTAGTGCAAACGCTTTCGCTTTATGCGATCGTGCGCAATCGTCCCGCATGGAGCCCGACAATAAAAAGGGGAGCAGTACCAACCGTAATATGCATAATCTCATGCAGTAGTAAGGCAATTCGTGAATCATTCACACGCGCACTAATAATGTGACACTAATTCGAACCTGTGGGTTCACGCAACTGCCTGAGTCTAAGCATGGCGGTACGTGCACACGGGGACACGCACCGACAAACAGCCAGCAAAGCATTGCACAATCATTCAAACATATGCGGAAGAGCAGCGACTAACCAACTCAGACGCACGCTTCAACAACTCAGGTACCAAACAAACACACGACAACGCCTTTGGCGGCATCGCCAGCGTGAACCGTTACGGGGTCCTCTTAAGGCCCACTTGGGGCTAACTTTCTGCCTTCTGGGTGCGCTCTTGCATCCCTCTTGGGGTCATATTGGCGTCCCTTGGGGCCTCGTGGGGCCTTTCGGGGCGGCGTCTTGGAAGCTAAGCCCCCTTGAGGGCTGTTGTGGGCTACTTCGGTCCTCTTGGAAACCTCTAAGGTCTTCTTGTAAACGTATTGAATTCAAAAATGAGAACGCATCCAGCAAAAATCTTTTGACGATTTTCATCTCTTAGAGGTCCTGTCCCGAGCAAGGCTGGAGCCTCTTGGGGCATTCTTGGGCCGTTCCTGGGGTTGTTTGGCCATCGGGGGCTTTTGCAAGAGGCACCTCAAACTATCTCGTGAGTTCCTGGCGACCTCCTGGTTCAACAACGTTTCTTTTTGAGGCCTCAAGGCTGGGCCCTCCCCAACAACCGCCAAAACTCATTATCACTTCATTGACGGGATAAACTGCGAGAGGTCGCTCGCGCAGAGAAGCAAGTAACAACACTGGCGTTCAATCCATACCTCTGCGATCGCGTCGAGCCACGCTTGACGGTGGCAACAATCTGTGGCTCGAGCGGCGCTGAGCTAACTTGAGCATCCGCTTGTTGACACCAGCAAACCTCCGATCCCTGATACCTATTGCCAATGCGTGCGGGCTTTGCCACCCAGCTTCAGTTAGTGTGCCACTTCCCTTTTTGACCCTCCCTTCCCTCTCCCGTCTTGTCTCTCACTGGTGCCCTTTTCCTCCAATGTATTTCCATGTCCCCCGTCTTCTCCTCCGTACCAAGCTTCCCGCTCTCCCTGTAATCCGAACTGAAAGTGTTTATCCAGAGACGAAACCGGAGATGGGCCTCTGTTCAATTTCCTGGCCACTGTCCCCAGCCAGAAATCCCTCTAGCACCCCCGACGTCATCGACATTGCCATCGTAGGTCGCCAGAACGACTCCGCGAAATGCCGACATGGTGTTGGGGAGAATGGCATGGGGCACAACAAACGAATAACAATAGGGGGCAACAAAATCCAACTCGCGCGATACCCAATCCTGTGTGAACATGATGGAACCGTGATTCCTAATCGCAACGTCATCAACGCAACTCCCGAAGAGTGAAATCACACATGCTTGCTCGAGCTCTGGGAGGTCCGAAACCCACCGTTATCTGTAACAAGTCCTATGCCTTGTTTTGTACGCTCGTTGCCTTCGCTGTGCGAGGGGGCCTCGAATCAAAACGCCTCCCTAGCGTCACGCATTCACCAAGCATCATTCGTGGCGCGGCCCCGCATTGCCAGCTCCAACCGCGGATCCAATCGGGGCGCTTCATACCACATTGTGGCAGGTTGGCTGCCCCACCCTGCCCTGCCTCGCAGCGAATATGGCCATATCCAGCGAGCAGGTGGTGGCGTCGGGACTCTGCCATGCGGCGGCCAACGCCTGGCGCCACATGCAGCAACATGATGAAACGCCAGCAATCCCCAAACAGACTTCCCACACTTTCTCCGCAAATGGCCCTGTAGGCGAACCTACTGCTTGGCTAACATGAATCACTGAGAAAATTGCCCTTTGACCGCTGTTTCTGGCCACTTTGAATCTTCAATCGGCCCACCTGTACCCGTACCAGCAATGACTACAACTGTCGGCAGCAGCAATGACGCAAAGTGTGGGCGGCGTGATGACGGCCAAGCAGCCCTTGGATGTCTCCTCAGCCTTGCCACGATAGCATGCGCAACCCCATGACGAAGCCCTGAATCGAACGATCGTTCAGCAAGCGATGGTTCTAAGCACCGTATGTTAATGCAAGGTGAGGTCGAGGCGATGCCTTAGCTTGCCCACGGCGGCCCACTGAGCCGAAGCTTCTCTGCGTCGTGGGGGCATTCTGAATCCACCAGCACGCGAAAAATCATATCCCCTGTGATTTCCTCGCCCCTGGAAACAAATCACCCACCCGTCTGGGCGGATGTTGTATTCTGAATGTGCTCTTCCCTCGCCCAACACAACCCTTTCTTTCCCTGCCCGGGCAGGGCTTAGCCCTCCCCTTACCTTATCCCGAGGGGTCTGGGTGGGCCCCCCGCGAATCGTCAGAGGGTCCCTTTTGACCCAGGGCCCCAAATTTCTCAAGATGGTCTCCAATATTGCTCAATATAGCTGGAGATAGTCTAAGATAGCATCCGATATACCACCGAGAGGCCCCAGGAGGGCCACAAGATGGCCCCAAGGGCCCCGGAAGCCCCCACAGGAACCTCAAGAGGCGAATATCGCCCCTAAGTCGAACGACAATACAGTTTTCGCCTTCTCGCATTTTCGCTTTCGACGTGCCTCTGAGGCCTCAAGATCACCCCAAGAGGGCCCCAAGATAGTCCCAAAAGTGTTCCAAGACGGCCTCCAAATCGCCCGAGAGCGCCCCAAGAGCGTTCTTAGACGGCCCCAAGAGGCTATTTCTCGGCCTCCGGGGAGGCACTCAAACTGAGGACCCCCTCTTCTGAGTCACGGACCCAAAGACCGTCTCAAGACCCCCCCAAAGAGCGCCAAACAGACCCCAATCAACTCCCAAACTAATCATAAGAGTGGCCCATGAAAGCGCCAAGAGGACCCTATGAAGGCCCTGAGAAGCCCCAGGATGGCTTCAAGAGTCCTCCGAGAGGCTCTCGCTACAAAAGATCTGCGAATGCCTCCTCCTCCTCCTCCTCCTCCTCATCCTGCTGACCTTCCTTTCTGCCTCCTCCTCCTCCTCTCGCCTCCTCTTGCCTCCTTCTTCCTCCTTCTCCTCGCTCCCCCACGCGGGCCCAAGAGATAGCCCGAAAGGGCTCTTCAGGGTCCCTCCCTCGCTCTCAGAGATCTGTCAGTTCAGCCTTCTTGCCCTGTTCGTTCCACTACAGGTGTCTCTTTTCCCTTCCTCCCATCAGCTCGCATCGAATTCATTTCTGGATGGGCTGGTGGGAATACTTTTTGGTATGCGGGCTCGCGAAGCGGGTCGAAAGCCGTCCAAACACTAGCCAGGGCGCGACTAGGCAGCAAGAAGGGGCAAGCAAAGAGAGCGCGCGGGCAGCCACTCAGAGGAAGGAGAACCAGAAATAACACTCCCATGATACATACGGTGCCGTCCAAAACGAATGATGATACGACCTGATTTTGTTTTCGGTGACAATTGCATAGGGGGTAAGCCAGATTGCGGGTCACGAGCAGGTCCTCCAAGGTCGTGCCTAAAGTGCTGATGTTGAGGCGGAGGAGGAGGAGGAGGAGGAGGAGGAGGAGGAGGAGGGGGAGGAGGAGGAGGAGGAGGAGGAGGAGGAGGAGGAGGAGGAGGGGGAGGAGGAGGAGGGGGAGGAGGAGGAGGAGGAGGAGGAGGAGGAACCGTGCTTGTGATCCCCGTTGACGATGACTTCCTGGGGTACGTTCCGGTCCAGCCCCGACGGCCGCCAGCCCGCCCGACAGCAACCACGGCAGGCGCGGTCTCGAGCGCTTTCGTTTGGGTACCCGCAAAGCGTCCCTCCGCTGGACCTCCCTAGAGCTCAAGCAAGTTCGGACTGGGCGAAAGGGGGGGGATAACAAAAGGGGGGTTTGAGAATTAGCTCACGTAGCTGATTTTCCCAGTGCCTCCCTGCGCCGGAGGCGGCTATGTATCGAGGAATGGGCCCCTCGGTGGGGCCGAAACCAGCTGCATGCAGCAGATTTCGTAACCCCTCCTTTCCCAATCCTCCCCTTTCGTCCGGCCCGAAAAGTGGTTTACACTTGCGCCTCTCGGAGCACCCAGGGAACGCGGGGTCTCGTTTGGGTCTGCGCACGACGCCACTCTGCTGGACCTCTCGGGATCTCATGAAACTGGCGACGGATGCGCAGCCAGCAGCCTACAGGGAGGGCGAGGTCTCATTGGGGTCCCTGTGAGGCGTCGCTCCGCTGGACCTCCCCAAAGGTTACGGAAACGGCGACACTTGCGTCTTTGCCAACACCCAGGGACGGCGAAATCTCGCCTGGGTCCCGGTAAGATGCCACTCCAGCGGCACTGCCAAGAACTCGTGAACGTTGTGACAATTTCGCAACTGGCAGAATCCTGGGAGCGCGAGGTCCCGCTTCGGTCGCTGTAAGACGTCACTTCGCTGGACCTCCCAGGAGCTTACCGCTGGACCTCCCAGGAACTCACGAAAGTGGCGACAGTTGCACAGTTAGTTAGGATCACCCAAAGAAGGCGAGGTCTCGTTTGGACTCCCCGCAGGCTCAAGGAAACTGCGACAGTTGGCAGCGCCCGGGGAGCAGCGACACCAATCAGAAAGCAGGAGAATATATTCAGGAAGGAAAGGAGGGAGGGCGGGAAAGAGAAGGAGAATGAGCAGCAGTGCTCTGTTCAAAACGAGTCTGCCGGGCCCCTTGCAGGGCCACCAGGCTGCGAGGGTCGGGATTCAGCAATGTGTTCCAATCCTGAGCTCCTCGGTCCCAGTCACACTTCCAATGCAGTTTGCAGTTTCCAATGTTATAGTACTTCTGGCTGTTTACTGTAAGTCGTTCGTTCGCTGTCTGCGCGAGGGGGGGAACCGAAAACCACTCTGATTACCACGGCCTCCAAGGTTCTCAGAATTCCCCTTGGAGCCCTGGGACACGTAAAAAACATGAGATTCACGCTCCGGGGGCCGTGCTCCTTGGAACACTTTCGCAGTATTCGCGCCCCCGATGCCGAGATCCCTCCTAATTTACGCCAGATTCGCTCCCGCCGCGGCCACGATCCGTTGTCAATGACTACAGGCTCGCGCCCCCGAGGCCATTACTCCTTTGAACGCAGGGTCCGCGCCCCCGCGGCCACGCTCCCTCGCGAATTACTGCAGATTCGGGCACCCGATGTCGTAATCATTTGAACATGATGCGTGGTTCGCGCCTCGAAAATATACGCCCTCGTAAACGATCTACGGCAAATTCCGCCGCATGCCCCCGAAGCCAAAATCCCTGGTAAATTACAACGGATTCACGTCTACGAGGCCATGATTTCTGGTACATTGCACCATACTCGCGCCTCCGAGGCGACGAACCCCTTGCAAATTGCGCATGACGTCACGACGGCCAGCTGTCCTCGCATGAGGTTCCGACCTCGCTTCGAGTCGGCGCCCACGCATCCCGACATTGCTCTGGCATGTCCCATTCTGACAGACAGGGGGCCGCCCGCAGAGGGTGAAGCCCTTACGGATATCCAGCGCAAGACGAGTCAGCAGCGGGAGATCGGCACGGGGGTCCTGATGCATGCCGAAACAGCATCAAAGAACGGAACCAATACATCATTCAATGCGCACGTGGTGGAGTGCTCCTCTTCCCCGCTTTCCTCCGCCCCCCTTCTCGTCGCCCCCCCCTCCCTCGGCCGCCATGGCCGCCGCCTGCTGCGCAAGCCCTGGCGCACCGCGCCCTTCCCTGGTGCTCTTCGTCAAGGCCTGGTCCCTGGGTCGTGTCTGGCTGCGCCCACCGCCTGTTCCGCCTGGACATCGGTCCGGCACGGCAGCTCTTTTATCGCAGGCTCCAGCTTACTTGGCTTCGGTCGCCGCTCCGGCGGCTCTGCTGTGGTCCTGGTGATTCTTCTCGGCAGCACCTGGTCCCTAGGTTGCGCCTGGCAGGCATCCCTGCTCTCGCCTGGACACCCGTCTGGCCTGGCAGTCCCACTGGAGGCTCAGCCGAGCTGCTTCCCCAGCCGCAGGCCCATCGGTTCGACACCCTGAAGCCCTGGTCACTCTGCATCTCCCGCGGTTGGATCTGGCCGCCACCCCCTTCGACGGCAAGCACCTCCCGCACCTCACCTGACATTGCGGGTGCCGGAGGTTGCCCGCGCGCGCCCGTCACCCGTGGATGCTCTTCGGCCGGGCCTCCTTCCCCTCCGCCTCCGCGGCCGCTCGCCGCTTCTCGACCTGCTCTGGTGCGCCCAGTGTCTAGTGCGGCCCGCAGGCTCTGCAGTCGCGCTCGCGTCCGCCGGCGCTGAGACAAAGGTGTGGTCGAGGGTGCACGGCCTGGAGCATCAGTGAAAGGATCGCAAGGACCGTATAGGTGGAACCAGACTACCCGGAAGGCCGTTGCGCGAATCTTGCATGAATCCTGCGTAGCATGCGTGGAATCCACCGGAAGGTGCCACCCATTCAAGATAATACGGTGTATTTCCTCGTCAGGGGAGCAATGCAAATCCTGGGGCAGCCCCAGAGTTCTTACGGGCTCCTGAGGGACTTAGCGGGTGTATCAAGACCTACGGCCATGAGGCCGTAGGGACCCCCAGCAATGTACATCTGTTGAGTAGGAAGCATAGACACAAGACCGTCAGGAAAACCGAAAAGCTCTCTGGGTTCACGTTATTTCATGAAGGGTAGCCAACCTGATTCGGAAGAGACAGAACATGAGCCCCACACGCTTCAACAACACATTGTATGACATCTGGAGCTAATCAGCTAAGTCCTGAGGAGTCCTGAGGAGCCCCAAGGAATCTGCACCCACGGCGCGCGCAACATCACAGCGGGGTCCAAGTCGATGTGTCGTCGCGACGAGTACACTGTTTTGGGATGATCCTAAGAAGTCAGAGGGGCCCAAGTTGACCCGCAAGCGCTTCATCTATCAAAATATGTTGTACATGTTTGGCAATAGCAACCGCCAGAGCTCCAATCTCTCGCAGCAGCGGCGGTCACAGCGACGGCATCTGGGAGCAGTGTTGCCATGAAAGAGCGACGGTGAGGAAGACGAAGAGGACGCATGTGTGAGAATGACGGCGAGGAAGTGAGGGCGATGGTGAAGAAGCTCGGTGCGGTCCATGGCTGATGACTGGCACTGCTAGGCGCCAGGCAAGCGTGGATTGTGCACAGGGCGCGAATTCAAGTCGGCTGGCTCGTAGAAAACCACGTGCCCACAGCAAGAGCATCGACACTAGACAAAGCAGCGGTAGCGGCAACGTCATCGGCAGGCAGCGGCAGCAGCACCCTCAGGGATGACGAATCTGTGCAGAGCTCCCTGGAAGCATCTGCAGCAACCCGCGAGCCTGTGCAGCGTCGGCCTTCACCGCCTCGCCGTGCGCCTTCTCGGCCACCTTCTCGGACGCCGACGCTCTCTGGGCGCGGGCCTTCTCCAGCAACTCTGCGCTCACGCCTACGGCCCTCGACCACTCCTGCGCGCGCTCCTGGAAGCTTTGTTTGCCTCTGCCAATGCCCACCTCTCCTCGCCCCCCCTCCTCTCTCCCTCCCTCCTCTCCCCCCCTCCTCTCTCCCCTCCTCCTCCCCCCCTCCTCCTCTCCCCCCCTCTCCTCTCCTCCTCCTCTCCCCCCCTCCTCTCCCCCCCTCCCCCTCTCCCCCCCTCCTCTCTCCTCTCCTCTCCCCCCCTCCTCTCTCCCTCCCTCTGTCCAATGGCCTCGGGCCTCGCCCTCACTGCCGGCCAGGCGATGCCGAACATCGGCCTCTCCTTCCTCCCCTCCTCCTCCTCCTCCTCCTCCTCCTCCCCCTCCTCCTCCTCCTCCTCCTCCTCCTCCTCCTCCTCCTCCTCCTCCTCCATCGTAGGCCTCTGCCCCTCCCGTGGTGATTATCATAGGCGCCACCCCTCGGCAACTACCATAGTAGGGGCTGCCAGGGTCCCACTCCCATCAGTACACCAATCCATGAAGCCGTCACGGGCACCAAAGGGGGCCGAGGCCCTCCCTACGGCCCCTCGGCCAGCGAAGAAGGCCGTAGGCAGGGAGGGGTGCCAACGCACCTCCACAATTCCAACCCAACACCCTGAGGCTCCCATCGCCACCATCCAGCGCTTTCCTCCCTCCTCCTCCTCCTGCCCCTCCCTCCCCCTTCCCCTTCCCCTCTCCCCTCCTCCCTCCTCCCTCGCTCTCCCTCCACTCCGTCCTCCCTCCCGGCTCCCCCCTCCTGCCTCTCCCCTCCTCGGCCCCCACAGTGGACCCGGCCCCCCGTCTGCGAGCGCTCCCCGAGCGCGCCCCCCCGGCTCCAGGAACGAGAGGCCGCCCGCGGCCGCCCTCCGCGCGGAGGCGCCCTCGCCTCGGCTCGCGGCGTGCGCTCGCAGCCGCCCCCAGGACACCGCGCGGGCCAGAGGAGGGAAGCCGTGCGGTCCGATCCTCGATGGGCCATCGGCGTGCTGTGGAGGAGGCCCGCGGCATCAGGCGGCACGGACACACGACAACCGGGAGGGGGGATCGGGCACAAGACGCTCAGGGGAGGAGCGTGAGAGACGCACACATATGGATTTGTGTCTGTCTGTCTGTCTGTCTGTCTGTCTGTCTGTCTGTCTGTCTGTCTGTCTGTCTGTCTGTCTGTCTGTCTGTATATACGTTTGCACACATGCAGGTAGGCATGCATATATAGATATATGTATAGTTCTGCACGCAGACATGCATGTATGCATATATGCAGGCATTTATGGATGCATACATGGATGACTGTATTAATGCAAGCATGTATGTATGAGTGCATGTATGTATGTACATATGCATATATGCATATCTATGTATGTATGCATGTATGCATACATGTATGTATGCATACATGTACGCATGCATGTATACATGCATTTATGCAGGCATGCATGTATGTATATATATATATATGTATGCATGCATGTATGTGTATATATATGTACTGATGAGATGTATGGATGCATGTATGCATGCATGCTTACAAACATATATGACCAGCTATAGCTGTACAGATATACATGATCCCGGTTCGAGGCTTCACAGCCCACCCCTGATGGGATGAGTTCCAGGGTTCCACACAATTCTTCGAGACGTGAGGGGGAGGCGACGACGACGACGATGCCGCCGACGACGACGACGACGCCGACGGAAGACGACGACGACGACGGCGACGCCGCCGACGACGACGACCAGGACGCCGAAGCCGACGCCGACGCTGACGCCGACGGAAGACGACGGCGCCGACGGACGACGACGAACCACGCCACACCCAATGGGGAAGTCACGCCAAGCCCACAGGGCCATGACCACGGGTGGGCAGGGGGGGGGGGGTCAAAGATCCCATTTGCGAGGCTCAAGGGCGTACAATCCAGCGGGGGGGGAGCTCGATCCCCTATATGCATTTGGGGGGGCAACCCTTGATTATATATATATATATAGATGTGTATATATATACGCTATATATGTATATATATATATATATATATACACACACGCGTCAGGGAAAGAGAGAGAGAGAGAGACAAACACTATATACACTATCTTCTGAGGGCTCGCTTCGCGTCGCTTCAGCCTTTGGTCTTGCGTCCAAGCACAACTGGGGGACTGCAGACGGACTCATCGGATCGGAAAAAGTAGTGACCAGGAGGGGGTTGGGGGTCATGGGCCGGATGGAACCCATAGGCATGTTCACGCCATGGGGGAAGGGCATGGTTGCGACAGGGGTGAAGATGAGCGCGTGGGGGGTGAAGGTCATGATTCGGGGGTGGTCCGAATCATGACCTTGACGGAAGTTGCATGGCTATTGTAAGGGTCTCTAATCACGACCAGGAAGGGGCTGTCGGCAATGCCGGGGACGGAATGGGTCACGGTGATGATCATGAGGGGGGTACCGTGAGAACCGCGACTGGGGTATTGGTAGTGATTTTGAAGGGTTACCTGTGCAATTACACTGCGAGAGGCGTGACCAGGTGACCGTGATGACCGCGATGGGGGTCAAGGTCATGTCTGCTGAGCTATGCCCTGGTTGCTAAAAAAACGGTTGGGCAGGCAAACGAAGTGAGGCTAATGGATTATACGCATGCAGATTTGTGCACGCCCCCGACGATACACATTTGTCGAGTCGGTGGCCTCCAGACCTTCAACTTATTCCCCAACGCTGCTTTTCCACTTCACTTTTGTCTTCCCGGAACTGGCTTTTCATCCCGCCTCTTTGGTAGGCGGCTCTGGGATCTGGAAGTGGCCTTCGGACACAGAACATTTGGAGGAGCCGTCGGACACCGAAACTTTGGAGGAACCATAGTGCCTGTGGACGATGACCATGACGATGGACGAAAAGCGGGGCCCTTGCTGAGGGGAACTGTTTCAATGGTCGAGTCGTTCCGCTGTGCCCTTCCTGCCTTCAAATCTTTGGCCCGCCTGGCCCTCCCTCGTTTCCGTCGTCTTCGAAATTCCCATCTCCTCTCGAAGATCAGAGTGCCACGCGCTGAAGTCGGAGAAGGAAGATGAGGAGGAGGAAAATGGGTGGCGGGAGGGCAGAAGGGGACGAGGAGGACGACGAGGAAGGCAGGAGGACAATGAGGGAGGAGGAGGAGGAGGAGGGGGAGGAGGAGGAGGAGGAGGAGGAGGAGGAGGAGGAGGAGGAGGAGGAGGAGGAAGAGAAGGGTAGGACAGGAACGGGATCCCTGGGTTTTAATTGGGCTCCTTGGACGACGTCTTGGGGCCTTCTGAGCGTCTTGGGGGCCGTCTCGAATATGATTGCGCAACGCAGTGAGGTCGGAAAAGGAGGAGGGGGAGGAAGAGGGGGAGAAGAAATAGGAGGACGACGAGCAGCAGCAGGAGGACGCACTGCCTTGCTGGAGGCAGCTCGGAAGATAGTTGATGATGGTCTTTTCGAAATTTCTTGAGACTTCTGGGACACCCTGCAGTTTATACAACAAGGAGCTCGTTAGACTCGGCCCTGCCTCGGCGGGGGCACGAGGTGCCAATCTGCATGGGGGCTGTGCGCCAACGCGCGTGATAACTTCGCAGAGAAAAGCCACAAAGAAACGGGGCACGATAGAACGTGCCCTGTGCAGAGACCGGGCTCGGGTCCCTAGACAGGTCGTGCTCGATTTCCTGCACTCCCTGCCAACACGCGAGCGGCAACCGGCTGGCACGCGCGCCCTGCCGGTCTCGGTTGGCCCGACTGGCCAGCGCAAGACAGTCGAGGACTCCGACTCGGCGCCTCCGAGAAGCAGCGCGGGGCCCGTATCAAACGGCTGGGGGGCCAAAACGAGAAGGTTTGGAGAGCCGTGCTGGCACGACGTGAGCTTCCCGAGAGATCTCCTCGCCGAGCGTGAGTAGGGCATCGCGATGCAATCGCCTGCTTCGGTCGTGCGCTGGTCACCCACCGTTCTGCCGCACCGCTTGCACACCGAGCTGTCGCCTCAAAAAACTCCTCCCTTCCCGCTCTGTCCCGGCGGTGTTTCACTCACCCTTGCTTCCGCCACTCCCGGCCTTCGGCCCCGTGGCGCCCTGCTTCCTGTCGGAGGTGGCGCGGCGTTCCGGCCACCCCCCCGGCGGCGCTCCCCTCCGCGGTGGCTCGTCGGTGCCCTTCTCCTGCTCGTGGGGTCGCGGGACTCGCTCGGTCGTCGCCGCCTCGGTCGTGGGCTCGGGCCGCGTCGTTCGTGGGGTCCCCCTCCGTCGTCTCTCTGGGCTTCCCTCCTGCCTCTGCCCCTGCTAGCTCTTCCCCCCCCCCCCACTCCGCCCCCTCCCCCCCCCACTTTCCCACTTTCCGGGTCGTCCCCACGTGGGGGGCTGAGCCTCTTCTGCGTGCACGCCTGGCCGCTGCCGGCGTGGTGCGCCCCCTGTTCCTCCTCCTCCTCCTCCTCCTCCTCCTCCTCCTCCTCCTCCAGCCCCTCTCTGTGTCGAGCCAAGATCCAGTGGGCCGGCCCATCGAGGGGGTCCGCGCTCTTGGCATCCCAACGGCACTTTCATGTTCGGGAGGGGCCCTGCACCGCCCTTTCGATCGACCCAGGTAGTAACATTTCATGCGCTGCAAGTTTTTTGGGTTCAATATGTGCAGCTTGATCCAGCCACGGCGGCTGGAGGAGGTCGCTCTGCTGGCGCGTGGCTTCCCGATTCGCTTCCTGGTGGGCACGCGCTTGCGCGCGGTGCCGTCGGAGGCGGTGCGCAGGCAGGCGAAGGTCGGCGGGCACGACTACTTCCACTTTGGATACGGACGAGGCCCCTTCGCGAATCGTGCTGCTGGAGTCTCCATCGGAGTACGCAGGAGAGATCTCGGACACCGTGTGCATCGCGTACTCCCTGGACCTGCTGCCGCGCAGGGCCGCGCTGGTCTCGTGCGGGTGATCACTGGCTCGCTCGACGTCACGGCCATCGCCCTCTACTTCCCGCCGCCTGGGCCTCGCTCTGGCACCGCCACATGGAGACGCACTGTCGACGTGCTCCTCGAGTGGCTCCATTCCGTTCTCGACAGCACGGCAGAGCGGTCCACCCCTGTGATCTTCACGGACCTGAGCGACTCGTTCGCGCAGGACGAGATGGGGAGCCACTTCGCGTGCGTGGGGTCCTACGTGCAGACACGCATGGGCTACGGGTTTCGAAACGTGCTGCACCGACATCATTTGGCTTTCGCCACCACGTTTCACAAGATCGCGCCCACGTGCAATGGGGAGAAAGCCTCGTCTTGGATCGATCACTATGCGCTGCCTGCTGGAGCCCTCCCACGAATTTCCAAGCTCCTGACGATGACGAAGGCGGCGGGGCAGCTGCAGCTCTTCCCGTCCAAGGGGGTGCTCCGCGACCATCCATCAGTACTTCTGGAAGTGGACCTGGGAGTTCCGTCTCCTCTCAACACTGCTGCCACGGCTTCGTGGAATTTCGACGCGATCGAGACGGCCTTGCAGACTCCTGGGCTACGCGAGGGGTTCCTGCTGGAGGCCAACTCGGCGCTGTCGCGGGCGGCCCTTTCGTACCCCAGGTATTTCGAGAATAACATGATAGACGATGGCTACGCCACGTTCATGAATTCGTTGGCCCCGATCGCCAAGAAACGCTTCGGACGCGCTCGTCGGGCCCCAGGAGAGGAACTTGCCCAACATCGGGTCCGAGTCCGTCGCCTGCTTCGGGCGCGCGCCTCCTTGCGTGAGCAGGGGAAGCCCGCGCAGCATCGCGACCTCCAGATCAGAGCTTGCACCAATCGGATTCGCTGGGAGGTCAGGCGGTGGACTCGGTCCCTCCGAAAAACCTGGACTGAGGGTGTGCATGAGGCGTGGCGCAGGCGCGATCTAGCCAGCGTTCAATCTTTTCCAGACGGCTGGCGGGCACAGGACTGAGGCCGAAGCGTCGCAGTTATTCGGCGGTGCGCAGGCACGCTGCATCGGCTGGTGAGCTCGCTTCGACCCTGGGCCTCCCTGGCTCGGAGGGCGGACTTCTCGCGGCCCCCGTTTTTTTTTTTTTTTTTTTTTTTTTTTTTTTTTTTTTTTTTTTTTTTTTTTTTTTTTTTTTTTTTTGTTTTTGTTTTGTTTGTTTTTTAGCACGGCCGGCCTCTTTGGCCCCTCAAGGGATGGGTGAGCGGGACTCGGCGGGGTGGGTGGGTTCTCGAGACCTTCGTAGAGCTACGCGGGTGCTCCGGAAGGCTTCGCGTCGGCGTTCTGTTTCTGCTTGGTCCCTCCCAAGCGAAGGTGTGGCTCATGCTTCTGGAACCGAGATATTTCAGTAAGCCACGCCTGTCCCCTTTTGCGGTCGGAGGTGCACTAGAGCCCCCCGAGGTAGAGGCCATCAAATCGGGTTTGGGAAGTCTTGGCACGTGCTGGCTGGTGGTGGGGAGGTTTCCGACTTGTGCGGGTTTCTCGGTTGGCTGGCAGACCCCCAAACCCGATGGCGGCACTAGATCTCTGCATGGCCTCTGCCCCTTCTTTCGTGCTGTCGCACGTGGTATACAAGTCTGTCTCACACGCGGTGCCTGCGGATTTCGACCACGGATGCATCCCTCGCAGACGGAGGGGGAACGCCATTCTTGGGGCGCACGTGTTGTCGGAACGCTTGCGCAGCGCGCGTGTGTGGCACATCGCTGTGTTTGATGATATGAAGAACGCTTTCGGCTGTTGTGATCACGAGCGTATGAATCGTGGACTGTACTGGCCTGCAGGGGATGCAGACATGCTTGGCGACAGGCGCACCACCCACCTCCTTCACCTTGATGGCGTGGATCATCCCACCACCTTGCACCTCCAAAGCAGGGCGCTCATGGGCGATCCCAGCGCGCCAGATGAGTTTCGTTCCGGTTTTGCTCGCCCCCTCCAGCAGTGGCTCGGGACCAGCCAGGATCCCGCCCTTGTTGCCCAGTGTGCTGTGTTCTCGCGTGAGGTCTACGCAGGTCTGTTCAAATATGTAAACGACCTCGCCTATGTTCTGTTGCTCCAGGAGGGGGCTCTCTCGGGGGCCGTCGCCGCAGCGCGCGAGGCCCAGGACAAGCTAGGCAATGCTCTGGCCGTGTTCGGATGCAAGCAAAACACGAAAAAACTAGTTTTGGTCCCGCGCCTCTGCAGTTATAAGGCCACTCGCCAGTTTTATGTGGCGGAGGTTGGCGGGGCCAGACTGGCCCCTCACACGAGGTGCGCGGGCCCGCAGTTTCTTCCCATCGGGCGCTTTTTCTCACCAGCTAGCCTTGAGTAAGCAAGCGACCAACAGGGGGTGGTTGTCCGATAGATATCTGTGGACCTCGGGGGCCCCTTTCAAGGTGAAGAGGCTAGTATTCATATCTGTACCTTCTGGTACCCCAGACCCCGCCTCGGAGCCTCCTGGGAATCTCCTGGAACCTCCTGGGGCCTCATTGGGCCTCCTGCGGCCTCCTGGAGCCTCTTGGGGCCTCCTGGAGCCTCCTGGGGTCTCCTGGGGCCTCCTGAGGCCGCCTGGGGCCTCCTGGGGCCTCAGAACTACATGCGCACACAGAGACACAAATCAGACCCATCACATCACCCGCTAAACAAATCTATAGCACACACACAACACCTACAACGCACAGAAAGCACGCACAACTCAGAACGCACATCACACACACACACACCCACACAACACTCACAATCCTGGGGCCTCCTGGAGCCTCTTCCGGTATCCAAGTCGGGCCTCCTGAGGCCTCCTGGGGGGCCCTGGTACACACATCGCAAGGTGTGGCAACCCCACTTGCGCTCGAGTGCGACCTCGCTATTGCATTTCACTTCCAGCAGCTGTCCTCCTCCTCTTCTCCTCCTTCTCTTTCACTCCACAAATTGTCTGCTGAAGCAAATCGGCTGGTGGGAATCGTGCTTACACTTCTCTTGTTAATCGCTTCGCTCACTCCGCCACGCTGATCTCGGAGAGGCATTGCCCTCGTCGATCCTCCTGCTCGATCCACAACCCTTTGGGGGGGGGCTCTTACTCGATCTTAGATTCTTCTGCGTTCACCTCCTGCCTCTTTTCCTTCTCTTAGGCACGCCCTGGCGGCGCCGCCCCAGCTTCCCCTTCTCCATCTCCGATCCCGCCGTCATGGTGTCTTCCTGCTTCAAACGCCCTTTCAGTTTTTTTTGTATGAGCCTGGGCACACACGTGCCACTTGTATATATATACACACATATACAAACACTATATATTCATACACACACGTGTAACTTAGACATATACATGTCGTTTTAATTCTTTGTGCATGTGAGCGTGCATATGTACACGCCTACGTATATACAAATACATGTGCATGTGAACACACACACATATACACATACACACATTTATATATATATAAAACAATACAACTGTGCATACGTATACGTATGCACATGCACATGTATATGTCTATGAATGTGTACATGTGTATGTATATGTGAAGGCATATGTACATGGCATGCGCATACGTATGTAAACAGGCATGCATGATGGCATGGATGTACATGCATGCCTGTAGCATATACATATATCTATATATATATACAGATATATATATAGAGAGAGAGAGAGAGAGAGAGAGAGAGAGAGAGAGAGAGAGAGAGATGCGCGGCGGCGTACAGCAAACACTCGGGCGCACAAAGACATCCGAGCCTGGCCCGCCCCCATTTCTGCTGCCATCCAGCCCAAGTATCACATTTCTCGTGGGGCCGTCGAGACCGATAATGATCAGAACGATCATCCATGTTCCGAATACTTACGTAACGATGGAATGCCAGATTTTACACAGCTCCGCCTCGGGCGACTCGCTGACTGAGGTGTCAGCCACTGTCCCTCCTCCTGTCCGCTGCTTGCTATTCCCAATTTAGCTTCAACGTGTGAGCCGCGGCGGCGCGTATTTGCCAGCTGGGCACGCATGCTCGGCCTTCGGCCTGATGCGCCCCAATCTGGCGCTCGTCGCCAGCAACGTGGCCGTGCCGCGTACCCGAGTTGCCGACGCTAGTGGAAACTGGCGACCTGATCATTGACGATCGTTTCACGACCTAGAGAGCTCCACGCTCGCGGTCACTTGCATTTTGCGGTGTAAGTTTCTTCCCTGCTCTCAGCGCGACACGCAGAAACCGCCACGTGGTCTTCCATGTTGGCTACTTGCAGACTTCCATACTGCCCTGTGCACGACTCCATCGAGGCTTGTTTGGCCCTGGTCGCTCGTCCCCACTATGACTCGCTTGTCGGGAATGGTGAAATATGTGGACTGATCGTCTCCGCAGCCTGGCTTACGCCACATGCTTGAAGCATGCTCCTGCCGCCCGTGGTTTCCTCCCCTCTCCGCGCCGCTTCCTTCCCTTCGGTACCCAATTCGCCTGCTGTGGCATCCCCACGCTTGCCTCGACCGCAACGGGCTCGCTTCGGCGCCGCCGACCAAGACGTGCGTGGGGTCCTCGGGGGCTGAGGCCCGCACGCACGGCCGCCTCCAGCACAAGCGCGGCGGCACCCGTCACCAGCTCCTGGCGGCTCCGAGGCTTCCCCTCCCTCTCCCTTCCCCTTCCCCTCCCTCTGCCCCTCTTCTCCTCTTCTCCCCCCTTCCTTCCCCCTTCGTACCCCATCCTCATGCACTCTCATTACCCCCCCCTTCCCTTTTCCCTTCCCTCGCGGGCTCCTGAGCGCCTTCGACGTCCGCCAAGGGGGACATCAGTGCCCTCGGCGCAACGCCCACCTGTCGGGCGGCCGCCGCGGGTGGGGTGTGCGGGGGGCCTTGGCGGCGAGCGTTCTCACTGCTACTCCGCCCTCGCTCTTCCTCCTTCTCTGCTCCTTTTCTTTGTCCTCGCTCCTTCGTCGCCTCCCTCCTGCCGCTTCCCCCCCCTCCTTCCCTCCATCACCGCTCCTCCCGCCTCCCTCCTCTCCCCTCTCTCCTCTCTTCTCCCGCCTCCTTCCTTTCTCCTCTGTCTTCCATCCTTCTTCATCCCTGCTCGCTCCCCCCTCTTCCCTCTTGCTTCCCCCTCACCCCGCCTCCTGCCTGCGCCCTCCAACTTCTCGTTCTCGTCCTCCCTCATGTTCCCCCCCATGAAGTGTATCCACTTACATCCTTGCCTTTCGGGTGGTGCCCTTGTCTCCTCGACGCTGCTTCGTGCTGTCCTGTACCAATTTTGAATGAACTGGGATCCGTCTTTCAGGCGTCGCAGAAAGCTGGGCTTAGATGTCGTGGCCTATACAGCCCGCGCGCAATGCACTGACGCCGAAATCTTTAAACTTTCCCCCTCCTAACTCCACCCTCCGCGTCCTGCGGAGTCTTGAGGCTGACGAGCAACATGACTACCTGCTTAGCGGAGCATGTCTGCCTGTGCGCAATCACCGCATTATCATTGGACGTCGGAAGTCTGGCATAACTGCCACATGTAGGGACGCAATGGGGTGCGACTGACATAACTATGGGAATCACTGCTTCAACAATGGCGCACGTACGACCAGATGGTCAGAATCAAATCTTCAGGTTGACGCGCTCTTGGCATCTTCCGCTCTCGCTGCTGTTGCCACGCGCCCTTTCCCGCACCCTTCCTCCTGTGCCCGTTCCCTTGTCCGATGAGATGTGGAGGCGCGTTGCCCGACGCGAGCCGAGAGCGCGTTGCCCGCAGCCAGACGACTGCCAGAGAGCGGCGATCCTGGCATGCCGCCCACGCTCGCGCGAATCTGCTGCTGGAAATGGCGCCCTGGAGCAGAGATCCGACATTTCGGGGCGGATCCTTCGAATGAGCCAGGTGGCAAGGGGCCCTGCAGCGTCCTGGAGTTTGATCGGAGCTCACGTCTTGCGATGTGGGTGTCGACGTACGTTTCCTGCCTGCCTTGCCGCTGAGGGTGATAAGGTGTCCCCTTGCTGGCCGCACGCCGACTTGCCAATCGAAACTGACTGGACATCAGAACTACTCCTTGGCTGCCGTTGCTGTTGCTTGTGTGAACGCCGTGTGGTGCAGTGCCGTACTCTTACTGCTGCTGTACTTTAGCTCGTTCGCTGCCAGACCCGCCACGCGGTGGCTGTCCCGTGAGCCTAGCTCACGCCCCTCACTAGAAGCACTGTCTGGTAGGCGCACATTCTCCCTCTGCGCCTCGGCTCATTACTATACATGCATATATCTATATCTGCAGATGCATAATGCATATGTATATGCATACTTACATATATCTGTATATGTAGATATCCGTGTATATGTGTAGGTGTAGGTGTATGTATGTGTATATGTTTTTGAGTATGCATAGGCATATGTGTTTGTATGTCTGTCTGCCTGTCTGTTTGCCTGTCTGGCTGTCTGGCTGTCTGTCTGTCTGCATGCATTCATATTTGCATGCATGTATGAATGTACGTATGTATGTATGTATGTCTGTCCGTCTGTCTGTCTGTCTGTCTGTCTGCCTGTATGTATGTATGTATGTATGTATGTATATATATATGTATATGTGTGTATGTATGTATGTACTTATGTGAACATTTCCGTATGTATGTCTGTATGTCTGTATGTATGTATGCATGTATGCATGTATGCATGTATTTATGTATGCATGTATGTATGTACGACTGTATGTATGTATGCATGCATGTGTATGTCTGCCTGTATGTACGTGTGTATGTATGTATGTATGTATGTATGTATGTATGTATGTATGTATGTATGTATGCATGTGCGTATGTATGTATGTATGTATGTATGTATGTATGTATGTATGTATGTATGCATGTATGTATGTATGTATGTATGTATGTATGTCTATATATATATATATATATGTATATACGTATGTATGTACGTATGTATGTGTGTATGTATGTATGTATGTATGTAGGTATGCATGTATGTACGTACGTACGTACATATGTATGTATGTATGTATGTATGTATGTATGTATGTATGTATGTATGTATGTATATATGTATGTTCGTATATAAGCATATGCACACGCCGCCGTTCCTCTGGGCACGGAATGGGCGTGCCTCCAGGTCGCTTCCCTCATCCTCTAAGCCTCAATCGTCACTCCTGAGGAGTCTCTCAGGGGCCCGGACCCCGAATTCACAAATCTCCTAGGGCTTGTCGCGGTTCCCCGCGGCTTGTCGCATGACTTTTTGGAACTCACAAGGGCCCCAAGACGGGCTAAGAAGGCCTCACTAGGCCCTCGAGACGGTCCAAGAGGGCCCCGAGACGCCGAGAGATCGCTCCATGACGCCCAAGATTGCCCCAAGACGGCCCAAGGGGCCTCACGCCCCACGAGGCCTCCGAAACGCCTCCCACGAGGGCCCCACGAGGTACAAATCATAGATTGTCCCGGGGTTTTGGGAAGATTTTTGGCGTTCTTGCCTTTTCTGTTCTCCGACGCTCCAAGACGGCCCAACAGGCCCCCAAGACCACCCCAAGATTGCCCAAGAGGCCTCCAAAAGGGTCCCAAGACGGCCCCAAAGCGGCCCCAGAGAGGGAACACGTACCGAAATCCGAGCCTTGCAGCCTGAGAATTCCCATGAAGCCCGACGAGGCGCCCAAGAGACCCCAAATAGCCCCCAGAGGTTCCAAACGGCCCCAGAACGGCTCCCAAGCGGCCTCAAAACTGCCTCCACGAGGCCCCCGAGAGGCCGCCCACGACGTCCAATAAGCTAAATACACGCAACCCAGGCACGATAGCGGGATGGGTCGAAGGCTATTCTATATGTATGTATGTGTATGTGTGTATATGTGTGTATGTGTATGTGTGTGTCTGTCTGTCTGTCTGTCTGTCTGTCTGCCTGCCTGCCTGCCTGTCTGTCTGTCTGTCTGTCTGTCTGTCTCTCTGTCTGTCTGTCTGTCTGTCTGTCTCTGTCTGTATGTACGTATGTATACAGGTGTGTATATGTGTCTACATATGTATGTATGTAGGTATATAGGTATGTATGTATGTATGTATGTATGTATGTATGTATGTGTATACATATATTTATATACACACAAATACATATTCATATGAGGATCACCCCCGCCTCAAAAACCGGACCCCCGGATCCGTGGCCCCGGGGGACCCCTGGACCCCCCTGCAGGAGGCCCACCAAGCTTCCTGGAGCTCCTGGAACCCCCTGCTGGGCCTAGGCAACGGGCCCACATCTGTCGGGGGGGCGGCCGAACGGCACCCCGAGGGCCCCAAGATGCCCCAGACACCCAGCATACGCCCGAAGACGACACAAATAAGACCCCCAAAAGGCTGTCGAAACGCAGAAAACACTGATTCGGAATGGTTTTCGTATAATGTTTGGAATGCTGTGTTCTTCGGTCTTCTCGGCGTCCGGCCCGAAAATCTCCTCAACGTTATCCGCAAGGGCTTCCAGGCAGTCCATGAGAGCCCCAAGACAGCACAACAGGGTTCCAAGGTGGCCCCAAGTGAGCCCTTTGACGGTCCAAGATGGCCCCAAGACGCCCCCCGAAGCATTCCAAATCGTGACCCGATCGTTCACTGAAACCGCGGTTGGAAGCAGGATGGCCCGAGGAAGCCTGCAGAGGCCCCCAGAAAGCGCCCAGGAGGCTTCTAGAAGGCCCCGAGAAGCCTTCAAAACTTTCGTTAGGCCCCGAAAGGCTCTCCAAGGAGGAGCCTCCGCAAAAAGAGCTGAGGAGGATAGAAAAGAATTCGCAGGGTAGGGCGAGAGTGGGGAAGAGGAAGAAGAAACATGGAATAATGACAATTAATCCATCAGTATAACGGCGATGTCGGAAAACATGCAACACGGCGTTATCGCTAAGTTGTACGTTTTACCTTCGTGCCCCTCCGCCTGCATGCCAAACTTCAAGGACCAAGGTGCATTGCGCGAAACGCCAATTCAGCGTTATCGGTGCATATATATATATAAATAAATAAAATGTATGCATGCATGTATGTATGTATGTATGTATGTGTGTGTGTACATATATATATATATATATATATGTATATATATATATGTGTATGTATGTCCCCCGTCTAGTACCTTCGCTGGTGCAGCCAACTCTGTCTCGCCGCCGAAAGATACAAGTATGTATGTATGTATGCATGCATGCATGCATGCATGCATATCTGTCTGTCTGTTTGTCTGTTTATGTATATTTTTGCTCGCCCCCCCCCCGCACCACCAAACGACGGACTGGGTGGGTGGGTGGGGGGGGCATCGTTCTCATCTTCCTCCTCTCCTCATCCTCATCGCCTTATCTCCACATCATATCTCTTCTCCTCCTTCTCCTGCTCCTCATCCTCTGCTCCTTTCGCTTCCTCATCTTCCACATCTTCCCTCTAATTACTCACCTTCACCATCCTCGTCCTCCTCCTCCTCCTCCTCATCATCATCATTATTATCATCATCATCGTCATCACCACCACCCCCATCATCACCATCATCAGCATCAGCATCAGCATCATCATTATTATTATCATCACCATCACCATCACCATCACCATCACCATCACCATCACCATCACCATCATCATCATCATCATCATCATCATCATCATCATCATCATCATCATCATCATCATCATCATCATCATCATCACCATCATCATCATCGTCATCATCACGTCATCAACAGCAACATCAACGTCATCATCAACATCAGCATCAGCATCAGCATTACCATCAGCATCAGTATCAGCATCAGCATCAGCATCAGCATCAGCATCATCATCATCATCAGCATCATCATCATCATCTTCCTCTTCTCCTCATTCTCATTTTCCTCGCC